GCTGATTGGAGACCAGAATGGTGCCAATCATCTCTATAGTCTAAGAATTCGGAAGCTACAAGCATTTCATCATCACTTCAGTTTCGCAGGATATAAACAGCGCCATTTGTAAATTGGGAAAGCATCTGATCACACCGATTTTGGTTTGATTAGATAATGTAAGGGCAGAGGAGATATCTAGAGTCTGATAGACCCCAGACTTCTCAAAAAAGAATATGACAATGCATATTGAAGTTATAGGGGTTATTTGCATTCCCTGTTATAGCATTAAAAGTGAAAAAAAAAAAAAATGAAAGGTACAATGTAAAAATAATAAAAGAAAATCAAAATAACTAAAAAAAAAAAAAAAAAAAAATTGCCCCTCCCATGCGCGCACACCACCTGTGTGCACAAGCCTTGACCCTGTGCCGTTATGTAAACAGCGGTTGCACCATGCATGTGAGATATTGCCGTGAACGTCAGATCGACGGCAGTAATTCTAACACTAGACCTCCTCTGTAAATCTATGGTGGCTTTTAAAGGCTTTTAAAGCGCTGCCTATGGATATTAAAAATGTTTGCAGTTTGTCGCCATTGCACGGGGCATGAGCAGTTTTAAAGCATGTCATGTTTGGTATCTATTTACTTGGTATACCATTATCTTTTATATTTTACCAAACAATTGGCCAATATACTGTGTTTTTGTGCATTAAAAGTAAAAATTGTATTTTTTAAAAAAAATTGCTTTTGAAAAATCGCTGCGCGAGTACTATGTGCCCTAAAAAATTTGTAGTACCCACCATTTTATTCACTAGGGTGTCTGCTTTAAAAAAATATATAATGTTTGGGGGTTTTAAATTAATTTCCTAGCAAAAAATACAGATTTTTTTTCATGTGAACAAAAAGGCTTGGTCTTCAGGTGGTTAGAAGAGTGAATGATGATGTGTGGCATAAACTTCTAATGCTGGGCATAAAACGCCCCCACCCCCCAAAATGACCCTTTTTGGAAAGTAGTCACCCCAAACTATTTGCTGAGAGGAAATGTTGAATCAATAGAAAGAATTTATTTTTTAAGTTTTTGGAAAATGACAAAAATAAATATTTTTTTTTTCCACAAAATTGTCACTTAAATGATTTACTGCTCACACATGCCATGGTTATATGTGGAATTACTCCCCAAAATACATTTTGCTACTTCTCCCGAGTATGGGAGTACCACATGTGAGAGACGTTTTGGCAGTCTAGCCAAGTACAGGACCCCAAAATCCAATAAGCACCTTCAGGCTTTTAAAGGGCTTTATTTCCTCATTACACTTCCTGACTACCTATCACAGTTTCGGAGGCCCTGAAATGCCAGGATAGCACCTAACACCCCCAAATTACTCCTTTTTGGAAAGTAGACGCCCCAAGGAATTTGATAAAAAGCACAGTAAGTATTTTGCAGATCTCATTTGTTGCCACAAGTTTTTGGAAAATGAAGAAAAAAAAAACAAAAACATTTTTTTCTATTTTTTTTATATTTCAAAACCTTGTGAGAAAAAAATGAGATCTGCAAAATACTCACCATGCCTCTTTTTAAATTCCTTGGGGTGTCTACTTTCCAGAAAGGGGTCATTTGGGGGAGGGTTTGGGGCTATCCTGGCATGTCAGGGCCTTCGAAACTGTGATAGGTAGTGAGGAAGTGTAATGAGGAAGTTACGCATCTTCAGGCTTTCAAAGTGGTCATTGGATTTCAGGCTCCTGTATTTGGCTAGGCTCCCAAAAAGTCTCACACATGTGGTATCCCCATACTCAGTAGAAGTAGCAGAATGTATTTTGGGGTGTAATTCCACATATACCCATGGCTTGTGTGATAAATAAATCATTTAAATGACAACTTCGTGTAAAAACAAAAACAAAAAAGTTTTTGTCATTTTCCAGAAACCTGTGTGGAAAAAATATAAAATCTTCCATGGACTCAATATGCCTCTCAGCAGATAGCTTAGGGTGTCTAATTTCCGAAAAGGGGTCATTTGAGGGTGTTTGTACTATCCTGGTAATTTAGCACCTCAAGAAATGTGATGGGCAGTCAGAACGTAAAAGCTATGTAAATTCCATTATCTATACCATAGTTTGTAGACGCTATAACTTTCACAAAAAGCAATCAATATACACTTATTGGGATCTATTTGACCAAAAACATGTAGCAGAATACATTTTGGCCTAAATTTATGACGAAATTTTAGCTTTTTTTAGATATTTTTTATGACCAAAAATGAGAAAATATATTGTTTTTTTAAAAAAAAAATGTTTTTTTTCAAAAAATTTTCTGGTTATAGCGCCAAAAATAAAAGTGCACAGGTGATCAAATACCACCAAAAGAATGCTCTATTTGTGTTAAAAAAAGGACATAAATATAATTTATGTACTATTTTGTATGGCCGCGCAATTGTCCGTTAAACTAGCGCAGCGCTGTATAGCAAAAAAATGTTGTAAATTGCAGTATCCATACCATTGTTTGTAGACGCTATAACTTTCACACAAAGCAATCAATATACACTTATTGGGATTTTTTTTACCAAAAACATGTAGCAGAATACATTTTGGCCTAAATTTATGACGAAATTTTAGTTTTTTTAGATATTTTTTATGACCAAAATGAGAAAATATTGTTTTTTTTCCCAAAAAAAAAAATTTTCCTTCAAAATTTTCTGGTTATAGCGCCAAAAATAAAAAGTGCACAGGTGATCAAATACCACCAAAAGAATGCTCTATTTGTGCTAAAAAAAGGACATAAATTTCATTTATGTACCGTATTGCATGACCCGCGCAATTGTCCGTTAAACTAGCGCAGCGCTGTATAGCAAAAAAATGTAAATTGCAGTATCTATACCATAGTTTTGTAGACGCTATATAACTTTCACACAAAGCAATCAATATACACTTATTGGGATTTTTTTTACCAAAAACGTAGCAGAATACATTTTGGCCTAAATTTATAACTAACTTTGAGTTTACTATATATTTTTTATAGCTGAAAGTAAATAATTTCTTCAAAATATTTGCCCTGTTTTTGTTTATAGCGTGAAAAATAAAAAGCGCACAGGTGATCAAATACCACCAAAAGAAAGCTCTATTTGTGTGAAAAAAAGGACGTAAATTTCGTTTAGGTGCAGCATTGCATGACCGCACAATTATCAGTTGAATTAGTGCAGTGCCGAGTAGCAAAAAGAGGCCTGGTCATTAAGGGGGGCAAATCCTCAGGAGCTCAAGTGGTTAAGCTGAACCTCTTCAAAACCGAGCTCCTAGTTTTCCCCCCGGCCCACGCCCCCCCCCCCACCACCCCCCCTGATTTCTCCATCTTGACCAACAATGCCACCATCAGTCCCACCCCGCAAGCCAGAGTACTTGGTGTCATTCCAGTCTCCAATCTGTCCTTCCAGCCCCAAGTCCAATCGCTAACAAACTCATGCAGACTCCACCTCCGCAACATCTCCAAAATATGCCCGTTCCTATCCCCGGAAACTACTAAGCAACTCATCCACTCCCTCATCATATCACAACTCGATTACTGCAACTCCCTCCTCACTGGTCTGCCTCAGCACAGGCTATCCCCGCTTCAGTTGATCCTGAATACCACGGCCGGACTCATCCACCTCACCAACCGCTCCGTTTCCACCACCCCCCTCTGCCAATCCCTCCACTGGCTTCCGATTGCCCAACAGATCAAATTCAAAATGCTAACACTGACGTACAAAGCTGTCCATAACTCTGCCCCAAACTACATCACCGATCTGATATCGAAATACCACCCAAAACGCACTCTCCGCTCCTCACAAGACCTCCTTTTCTCTAGTTCCCTGGTCTCCTCCTCCCATGCCTGCCTCCAGGGCATCACCCATCCTCTGGAACTCCCTACCCCAATCCATCAGACTATCACCTACTTTTCTTCTCCTTTAGGCGCACCCTGAAAACCCACCTCTTCAGGGAAGCCTACCCCGCCCTCTGCTAATTGCCGATCTCCTCCACTCTGCCTACCACTCCATCCCCCACAGCTATTCCTCCCGTACCACTATCCCCTCCCTCCTAGATTGTAACCCCTTGTGTATCGCATTGTATTGTTATTGTACTGTCTCGTGTATTGTCTCCCATTGTAATGTACAGCGCTGAGCGAACTGTTGGCGCTATATAAATACTGTATAATAATAATAATCATGGTGTATGTTTAGGATATACAGCCCAGAGGCTGTACTTAATAGGAATAGTCACTATATATTTTGTCATTTTGTCTTATGTCACATATATTCATTTTGATATATTTATATGTTTTTCATGTGCATTTGTATTTATGCAGTTTTGTTGTTAGCGCTACATCACATATTTCAATATTAGTTTATAAGATCAATAGGTATATGATTGCATGTTGGCAGCTGTACTCATTATAGTGATTTTAGTGTTTAGGTAGGAGCGCAGGAGGTTCTCACATATATCTCCAACATGTAGTTCTGTTCTGAACATGTGTCTTCCCTTTTGGGGTACCCATTCAGTTATGAACTTCACTGAAAGGATTGAGATTTAATTAGAGGTATGAACTTGGCAGCCAAAGCTAGAATGAACTCAAGCTGAGGAATATGTGAAAGACTGTTTTACATAAATTCTGTATCTGCAAAAAGTTTCAAATGAATGTTCTGAAAGTTCCAAAAGTACCTGATCTGAAGTTCTTTAAAGTGTTACTAAACCCACAACTGTAAAATCTGTCTGTATATGCAGTAAAGCATGCTTGTTATACACACTATGGAACCTAAGGGGTTAATCCTCTGCATTGTATAAAAATGCTGTTTTCATCCTGACTTCTCTGACCCTTCCCTTCTTCCAGTGCTCCCCTCTTATCTTCCTGATAACACATATCGTGTGGAGACACTTTGCACATGCTCAGTTTGGTGTGTATTGCTAGAGAGGGTTTTTTTTCCTTGGGAGAGTGCATGTGATCAGCACAGGGCCAATCAGCACTCTCCAGACAGAGGTCAGGGGTTCTGCATCCTCCTAGAGCAAAATGAAAACTCCTACAAGCTTTAACCAGTGCTAGGTTGGACACTGATAGAAGTCACAAGACTGCTCTAACTGCTGATGAGAAAAGGCATTTAGCAGATTATATTTACTAAAATAATTGCATTTCCATGTTCTGTGTACTGTGGGGGACCAGATATAGTGAATGCAGGGTCCTGGGTTTAGTAACATTTTAAGTAAAGGGGTGCATGCAAGGCGTATAAAAGAACAGGTTTTGGAAGAAGGGATGAAGAGGAGTTAAGGAGAAGCCACTATACAGAGTTAACAAGTGAGGTGAGGCTAAAAAATGTGAAGGGCTATATTGATGTTGCCATGAGTAACCAGAAGAGTGTTGGATGTTATAGCTGCCAGCCGGCGGGAGAATAGTGTGATTGAGCAGGGGGTGATGGAGTGCTCTGGTAGTGAGGGGGTTTCTGAGCTTATCCCCCTTCCTAGCAATCTGTAGTCCATACATGGGCTGATGTCATGGCAAGGAGCAGCTATGGATCTAGCCTGTATGTTACGGGGAAGAGGAAGAGAAAGGATCCTCCGAAGTTCAGAGATATGTAGAGAGCAGGGGCGGACTGACAACTCATGGGGCCCCCGGGCAATAGGGGATCATGGGGCCCCTGTGTCCTTGCCCAAACTCAAAAAAGCCTATGAAAAAGGAACCAGGGGCATCTCATGGGGCCCCCTACTGACCCCAGGCCCTCGGGCAGTGCCCGAGTTTCCAAATGGTCAGTCCGCCCCTGGTAGAGAGTTTGTGTTTAATACAGTAAGAAGACTCACTAGAAGTGGGGTCATATGGATGCTGGAATGGAGGAACGGGATACAGGCTCTGAAATATCCCCTCAGAAGTGCTGCACTGTGTGGGAGAAGTCAAGTACAGTTAAGCAAGTGTGAAGTCTCTTTGAAGTGAATTGTGCATTTTGTTAATTGTACGGAGAGTTTTGCTCAATTATAAGTCTGGAATGCCGCCTTAATACAGATTTCTCAGGACCGCAGTCTCCACCTACTTGAGAGTGCATTAGCAAGCAAAGTTTCCAGTGTCCCCACTAGGGCACTTTAAGCCCCACACACAAACATAGTCCACATTTGTGCATGGTGTTACATTTCAATGCAAGTACGTTGTGCTGTTTTGTGTAAGTGCATTGGAGTGCTAGTCAAAATGAAAGGTGCCACATTGTGCGTAATGCTTTGCTGCATGTGTAAAACCACTCATTTTACCATGTTACCTCAACACAATAGTGTGATTGCAAACTAGTTTAGAATTCTCCCGAATACTGTTCCTGTATTAGAAAAATACAATAAATGACTTAAGCACAAAAAGTTTTTAGATATCTTTTGGGCAGCCAGCTAGGAGACAGCTCTAGCTTAGGTTTACACTAATAAATGCTTATGAAGCACAGGAATATGCAGCACATTCCCGTGCAATTCCCAAACGATTCAGTGCAGTGCAATTTTGAGCCAGTTCATTTTGAATGGGTTCAAATGACACTGCATTGAACCAAAAGTAGTTAATGCACTACTTTTGGAAATGCAACGTAAATGGATCATGGTAGCTTGCAACGTGTGTTAGGTGGTCTCATTAACATTGCACTGACACCCACTGCAGATCGCAAGGGCAGTGCATTTTGAATGCAGTACAGGATATGCGCATGGAGCACTGGTTTCCCACACCACGGTTTAGTGTGAATCAGGGCTAAATCCTCCAAAATCACCACAAGACACAATTCCTGTAGCAGAAATACTTAGTGCAAAGATAAACATACCATAAGAATTATAAATAAAATTTATAACAATAAGACAAGATATGCCTCATGTTGCTTCTGAGCTGTAGATGTGTTGCTCAAATGTTGCTAATGTAGGGCAAGCATGCGTGTGCCTGATGACAGGTTCAATAGGAGCAAAGCAAAGGAGAGCAGCACAAATCAACTTAACACAAATAGGCTAGGTTCTGTCTGCTGACACCAAGCCTGTGTCTGATAGTAAAAAACTGTGATAATTTGCTAAAGTTAATCCTCTCTCCTGTTTCTTCAAACCATCATATGCAGATGGCACGCAGGCTTTCACATGTACATATTTATTTTCTTTATAACTCTATACAGCCTCTAATCTGCACTTCAGCATACATGCCAACTGTATTGGATTTGCTGGGACAATTCTGATTTTGCCCTAATTGTCCCTTGATTGCTGCATCCTGGGCTTTGTCCTGTAAACGTAGAGTGAGGCTCACTACTTAGTAGCTGCACATATTGATTGCCAGCTCTATGGTGCCCAATATCTCTCTCTGCACCTCTGGTCAGCAGTTCATGCTATGCAGTGGAGTGAGAAGGGAGGTCTGATTGGCATCTCTGTGGTGCCCACTATACAGTGGACGTTTCTGATCAGCAGCTCTGCGGTGCCCAGCATCTCCTTCTGCCCCTCTGGCCATCAGTAACAATGTACATTGGAGAGGGGAGGGGTGTTTGACCTGGGCAGGCACTGGCTTTAGTACACAAGTGAGTTGCTAGGCTTGTATATTTAGGTTGGTAAATATATGTAGAACAGTGCTGCTCATTGATATCTAATCCAAAAGATGGAATATCTAAATAATATATACGGTATATAAAAAAATTATATATAGAAAAATCTCCTTGTAAAAAATGTGCAGCAAAATTTGTGCAAACAACTGATAAAATGTAAAAAAAAACCCCTTCTATACCTCCAATACACTTATAGTATAATGTATGACGTTCTCTCTACAGTATATGCAGTTGGTCCTCCAGGAGTTAAAAAAAAAAAAGAGGTTTTTATTTAAAGTAAACATCAGTGATAACTTCACTCTGCGGCCCAGTTGTCCTAATCGTAAAGAACTTGTACCTGCAGGTGATTGGACATTGATAAGCTTTTGAGGACTAGTCTGCTGGGCACCTCCCAAATAACCCACTCTATGAGTCCTAAGTCTTTTGCTAGCATCCACCTCTTCTCCCTTGCAGAGAAATCACTCTTAGCTTAGCTAGTTTATTATATTAAATTCAGCTTTGTCTATCAACTTTGCCATCACCTCCTCTACTGTCTTCTGATCAGGTTTTTTTTTCAGTGGGAACATAGGGAAAAGCAATTCTGGCACCTCCAGCACTGGATGTATGTATGTAATGGCAAGAGTTGCTGTAATGTGCTGGAGGGTCTACTAATGCTTGGTGCTAGTGGATTTATTGTTACTGGGGGGAGTGTCTATTGTTGTTGGTGGGGATCTGTTGTTGCGGGGGGGTGGGATGTCTTATGTTTCTGGGGCATCATTTGTTGCTGGGAGGGATCTACTGTTGAGGGAGGGGGTCTTTTATTTCTGGCTGCTGGAAAGTTTAGAGATTTGATGTTGCTGCCAAAGTTCTATTTTTTCTGGGGGGATCTGTTATTATTGTTTTTTTTTTTTTTTTTTTTTTATTTTTTTTTTTATTTTTTTTTTTTTTTTTTTTTTTTTTTATTTTTTTTATTTTTTTTTTTTTATTTTTTTTTTTTTTTTTTTTTTTTTTTTTTTTTTTTTTTTTTTGGGGGGTCTACTAGCTGGCTGCAGGGGATCTATTTTATTGCTTTTCTTTCTACAAATTCCAAATGACTTAGTACCACAATATGCTACTTGGTTCTGTATTCTCTAAAAGGGGCAGTACTAGGAGGTGGGAAGGAGGTGGAACCAAGGGACGGTTTTGGAGATGGGTAGGGGGCGGAGACAAGGGTGACTCAGAAGGGGGGAGTTTCTGCACCTATTTTCTAAGAAAAAATGCCCTGCTTCTAATATAGCAATTGGTGTAGTCTCAGTAAAACAGGGGTGCTCTTCTCAGCATTTGATGCAAAGTGTTTTAGTCAGCTTTAGGTTGCTATAGAAGTCCAGGGCCATTGTCCATCCCTATGAAACAGTCCCTGAAGACCCCTTCAAGGGTATGAGTGAAACCTGGACTCTATATACAATCTAACATCATAGACAGGTAAGACAGGGTCATTATGTATTTGGCCATTACTGTAAAAAATGGGCTATGTTTGGAATACATTCACTTTACCGTGTAAACTTTTCAAACTTGGTGCTAATATTTAACCACTCATAGGTTTATCTCAGGTGGATTACATCACACCAATAGTCGCACAGTTTACTGCTACTTCGATCTACAGACTTTATAAATTACTCTGGCACTTTCTCCCACCCTTTCCTCACAGGGACTTCACTACAGGATGGCCTAAACCTGGGTTGCTGCATACTCTTTCTGGACTTGCTTACCAAATATTCCACACTTCTCCATGAAAACCCCACACGGACAAGGATATTTATCCTTGTCCGTAGCTATTGCAGAAACAAGGCAAGTCATCTCAGGTGAACATTTTGCTCTTTTGAAGGCCCACACAACATTCAACCTCAGAGTGATGGTGCTTCCATTGCACTGGAGCAAGACCTGATATCAGCACAACTCTCTGCAGTCTTGAGGCTCAAAGCCCGGACAGGTGAAGCTGCATGTAAAAAAAACACACAAAAAAAAAAACAAATTAAATACCTCACACATTTTACTTCCACGGCAGAAGATTTCATAACCACCCTCCACAGGAGTCTATATCTCTTCAAAAATGCAGATGTAAGGGATTTCCGGTGAGATGAATTGTGAATAGAAATGCGCATAGAAACGTCCAGGGAAGAGTGGTCGGTTGTGCGCCTGCACGTGGAAATGAGCGATCATGCACGCGCACGTGGATATCACACCACTTCCTAAAACAAATCTATTAAAAACTGAGCTCATAATATTTCCTCCCCCACATGCCTCTTCCCCTAATTTCTCAGTCAGGATCAATAGCACCACTATCAACCCATCCCTGCATGCCATGGTGCTAGGTGTAACCCTGGATTCTGAACTATCCTTTCAGGCCCACATCCAATCCCTGTCCAAATCATGCCACCTCAACCTCCGCAATACCACAAAGCTCTTAATTCACTCCCTGGTAATCTCTTGCCTCGACTACTGAAACTCCCTCCTCATTGGCTTACCTTTACATAGGTTATCCCCCCTTCAGTCCATCATGAATACTGCTGCCAGGCTCATCCACCTTACCAACTGTTCAGTGTCTGCTACCCCTCTCTGCCAATCCCTCCACTAGCTTCCACTCGCTCAATGAATAAAATTCAAAATACTAACAACTTACAAAGCCACCCACAACTCTGCCCCCTGCTACATCACCAACCTGGTCTCAAAATATCAACCAAACTGCTCTCTTCGATCCTCCCAAGACCTTCTGCTCTCTAGTTCTCATATCACCTCCTCCCATGCTTGCCTCCAGGACTTCTCCCGAGCTTC